TATTTTTATATATTCTTTTTTTTTTAATTTCTTAACAGTCCTCTTTGCGTTAAATAAATTATCAATGTATATATTCATATGGTAAAGTGTTGTTGATATTTGTAATTTATTTCTTCCAATGAAATCATTATACATTCTACAAAATTTATAAATAAAATATTAATATTTTTATTTCGCTTGTGTTGTAATGTCTATAGGTATATATCTTCCCCGTCCATCGGACGGATCTAACACCTAATGGTATATAACGGATAAAAATTATGTCGTTTCGAGCGATAAGCTTTAATAAAAAAAACACAAATTAAATGACATTTTCGTCCCTAATTAAAATTATGGTGTAATCATGACATAAGGCTTATGTCAAGTGAAGACCGCCTGGCCAATCAAATTGCGAGAAACTATTTGCCAAACGTGGCTTTTATATTAGCTTATAGATAAGGATTATAGGAGAAAAAGTTTATACAGTTACACTTCAAGTCCTTAGGAATTTTTGGAAGTAAATTTTTTTACACCTATTTTTTTAAACCTAATTAAAATTATGGTGTAATCATGATATAAGGCTTATGTCAAGTGACGACCGCCCGCCTAATCAGATTGCAAGATCAGATTGCGAGAAAATATTTGCCAAACGTGGCTTTTATATTAGCTTATAGATAAGGATTATAGGAGAAAAAGTTTATGCATTTACACTTCCAGTCCTTAGGAAGTTTTGGAAGTAAATTTTTTCACACCTATAATTTTAAATTAATAGACGGCTAAATAAAAATAAGAATATGATACATTTAGCATTAATTAATTTGATCCGGATGGAGAATTATTCATGGAGTATTTCTCCAGTGATCAAGGGATTAAATTAATGCCATGAATTTAATGAGGAAAAATTTGAAGAAACAATATGAGATGATTTCCAACGATTCCGAAAGTAACTATTTCTCTTCCAAAAATAATAATACTAGAGTTGTTAAAAACCAATCAATCAACAATCAACATCTATCTAAATAACTTAATAATAGAAAACCCAGAGAGAGGAAACTAGGATAGTTTTCCACTTGCCACATAGGACTGGTAATTTTCTCAAGTTTTTGATTTATTAAAAAGGAAAAAATTTCTCCACCCTAGATTCCCGCTTCCTTCAATCAAAACTCAAAACTACCACTCTAAAAATCTTCTCCCGATCTTAATCTTCTGATTTGGTTGGAAGATTTTTCAATTTTAAATCATAAAGTCTTTAAGATTTCATCCCCGATTTATTTTCATCTTCATCCGGTGATTTAGTTCAGATTAAAAATTTTTAATCTGGGATTGATATTTATCATGATTTCAATGCTTTTAATATTTGTGTATACTAAGATTGTTTTCTACTTGACATATAGGATTTACAATATTTTTTTCATTTTAAAATTTAGTAATTATAATAACTATTGATAATAACCAAATCAACCTTATTACTAACCGAATTGGACGCAAAGCATAAAAGATAATCATGAACTTTTGAGTTTAAATGAAAATTAAATAAAAAAGATAAAGATAAATCAATTATTATTCAATCTTTTGTAATCAAACTAAATCCCTATATTTTAGAGATTTCAATGTGTAAATTATTTCTCAATAAAACACTAAATAAAGCAACCTGATGTAATGTAACCATAGTTAAAAATTTTCAAACTAGAAATTGTAGGTGAATCTTCACTTACGAGTTCTCCATTTATTTTTCTTAAGGTTTTTCTTCTCCCCCTATCTAATTCTTTTTTCCATCAATCCCTTAGTCCAATTGGCTTAAGCACACAAATAAATGTAAAATGCTTTGTGGATTGTGATTAAATTGTTGAGGGTTAGCTGTTGAAAAATTTGTGAAGTTGTTATCATCGTCACACAGGTTCGTGTGAACACATACAAATCTTATATTATTTTGTATGTTTTTCTAATTTTTAAAAATCAATATTATCCTTTTTTTTTTCCTCCTGGTACAATTTTTTAGGGGATGCCGAATCGAGAAAACGGTAGCATCCGTGATTTGTTTTGGCAAAAAGACATTTTAGGGTGGTTTTGTTTTACCAAAAAGAGGATGTGCATATGATCACATCTTCCACGTACTAAGATGTGTTTAGGATTGTACGTGTATTATAGGGATTTAATCTATGATTGGAGCTTATCAGCAATAGCAAAGTTGCCCTTATATTGGCCAAAGGGGTTCTTCAGTTGGATGTAAAAGGCTGACTTAACTGATCAGTGCACTCATTTTTCGTAGATAATTAATTAATTAACCTGAAATTTTTGCGATAAATTTTTGCGGTTTTTAGGCAAAATGATCCTATAAGTTTAGTTAATCTGTTGAACACTATCTGGTCCATTTTATTTATCTCCCTTGCATGAATATTGTGTTTCTTTCATTTAATCTTAAAGTGTAAGAAATTTTCAATCCTCCGTAAGCATATTAAAATATTTTTCCTTTTCATTTCTATCCAAGCAGAAGTATTTGTCTTTAAAAAGATGTTAATTATTAGTAGTTTTTACTCATTAAGTTGTAAAAATAAATTTTTAAATCTTAATTTTTCAAATCCATTATCGAGGTTGTGGCGGATGCTTGGTTCGACTGAAAATCATGCATTGATCTCGTGGGCTAATTGTTATTTTTGAAAGCCAGTGATTATGCCCAATTTCTAATATTTTGGAATATTAAACATATTTTAATTCTTTCTTACTCCTTCCTTCTTGAAATTATTGTCCAGTTTAAATTTTTATTTTAATATAAATTAAACTAAAAATAAAAATCTAAATTGGATCATAATTTTAGGATGGAGGGATTTGTTTCATAGGTGACGTGTGTTTTTTGTGCATTGTGTTAGATGCTTCTGTATGCTAGCTAACCATACACGGAACAAGGAAAAATTAACTTGGATTGGAGTTTCAACTTTCCAATTCCAGATTTCCAACTTCAAAACTTGGATGAGAACTCCATGGACAAAAGTTGACGGGAGGGTGCTGATAGCTTCTTACACAAAAACCTTTGCTAAGCAAGTTTCGAGTGGGGCGTGCAACGTTGAAAGAATTTTGGTGTGGAATGGGATGTTTTTAAAAAAAAAAAATTGGGAAAGAGAAGTGCAATGTAATTTCTTTCCCATTTGAATAAGTTAATTTTTTCCCCATTTTTTTCCCATTTGCAAAAACTTTTCCCACCTCATGTGATTTTTTTGGAAAACTAAGACTCCAGCTCGGATTCAAAGGCTTTTGTGGCATTCTATTGTGAACACAGAGTTTGATGAGAAGAGGGGCACGTGATGGTTCCCGTTTTATGCAGCAGATGTGAAGCTGAAGTTGAAATAACACAACATTTGTTTCTAGATTGTGAATTTTCAAAAAAAAAAAAAAAAGTCATGGGAAGCATTTGGACGGCACGAAACAAAGCAGTCTGGGACAATCACAAAGAAGATCTAGTGGTAACTTGGGATCGTGCTAAGGAGGCACATGATTTCTATCTAAGTATGCAGCAGCAACCCTCGTGTGTTAGGCATGGTGATAGTTGTCATATGTTCAATATGGTCGATGATGATATGTTAGAGTTAGGAACACATCTGATATATGTAGATGGGTCATATCAAAGTAATGGTTGTCATGGGGCTGCTGCTTGGGAAATTTGGACTTCAACAGGGAAAAAATCAAAGAAAATGGCATCACATTTGCATCCATTTCTGCAGAGCAGTCGGAAGCCCTTGGCATTATGTACGCATTGCAAGAAGCTTTGGAGTTGAAGGTGCAAGTATGCAGGGTACACACAGATTGCAATTTACTACTAGAGCTTAAATGAAAGGAAGATATGCTGCCTTTAGAGATTAGAGATATTAGTAAAGATGTTCTTAGTTTTAAAAGTAAGTTTATTGATTGTAAAATAGTTAAGGATAGTAGAAATGAGGTAGATAACATCAACCAGGTAACTAGGTTGCTATCTAAAAATGTAACACTGTTTGCTTGACCATTATAATGAAATTAACCGTGCTTTTGTCGAGAAAAATAATAAATTAAGAGAATTATATGACCTGCTGAAATTTCCAGCTGTTAATATTATTTTAAACATTTTTTTTAATTTCGTTCTTATTTTTTTCTATAAAAATGTCCGAAAAAGGAAATATTTGTAGGAAAGTTGTAGTTGGCCTCCCACAGAGCCGAATGTTGTTTGAATTTTAAATAATTGGCTTAATACTCTGTAATTTGATTATTTTTCTTCTTTCTTTTATTCTTAGGAAGTGATTTGTACTGGAAGTCATTTTTCCTTCCATGCAGAGGGACATGAAAAAAGTTTTGCGGCCTTTATGTTTTGGGACTTTTTTCAAAGCATTCAATTACACATATGCGATGGTTGTAGATTTCCTATGTATAAGGTCTGGACAAGGAAATCTTTGCGGCCCTTATGTTTTGGAAAGTTTTTCGGGTAGATTATGCAACGGTACTAAGTTTCGTATCTTAAGATCTGACAATGTGTTATTAATGCAAAAGTCTCGGACAACTACATTGGAAAAGACGTATGCAATACTCGCATGTCTTTCTGCCTCTCCAAAACGAAATTTCCATTCAAATGAAGAGATAACAATCTTTCAATAATCATTTCTTTTGAAATGACAATTAACAAGAGAACAATCATTTTTTCCAGTTGGGTTGTATTTGCAACGTCTGATTTTAAGACTAGGTTAGTTATATATTTACTCTATCCAAAGTTACATCACAAAAAAAGACTTAAATTTTGATTTGCGTCGAAAACAGAGAGACGAGTAACAAGAAAACTAATATTGCGTGCAAAAAATACTACAACATCTATAATTATTCACTTTGTTTTTAATGCAAACTCGAAAAACTATTTTCTCTATATTCTTTTCTACCCCGTCCATCGGACGGGTTTAATACCTAGTATGGATGTTATGATATTGTAATAATCCATAAGTTCTAATTATTAGTCATTTCAAATTTATGCCAAAGGAGGAGTAAGATTTATTTTAGTGCAAAGATGAGAAATTTAGTTAAGGAGGTTCTCTCTTTCTTTAGCTTAGCCTAAACGTCCATCCACACACTATGCTCTAAATTGTCCTTTGCCAAATATAGGTTAAGTTTATCATTCTGTAACTTTTTTCTTGCGAATTCTGCACTGTTTGAGACGTTCAGTTACACTTTTTTTGGTGTGATTAATTAAGTGCTTTTTGCTTTATGCTCTGTGAAGCTTAAGAATTTATCCAGTTCCTCGCACAATTACACTATGTTCATGTAGATAATGAAGACGACGAGAAGTACTAGATTATGGGCCATTCCACTCCGATTATACTCTTCCAATTCAGTCACCAGAAATATACCATCAGCGCAGAATCTAATCCAAAATATGATAAATTACTGCAACCAAGGCGACCTCAACGGGGCCATTTCCGCCTTGAAGTCGATGCATCAGCATCAAGTTTTTGCCGACGCCGTGGTTTACACCCGTCTCATCAAGCTCTGCGTTTCCCACAAGGCCATCCACCACGCTAGAACCGTTCACCATCACGTCTTCTCCGATGGGTACGCCCCGAAAACGTTTCTCATCAATAGTTTATTGTCCATGTATGTGAAATTTGGGCTATTCCGGGAAGCCTGCGAGATGTTTGATCAAATACCCGAGAGAAACGTCGCGTCCTGGACCACTATGATCTCGGCTTACGCGGCGTGTAAGGACTATGGGTTTAAACGGAAGGCGTTGGAGATGTTAGTTTTGATGCTCAGAGATGGGGTCCAGCCCAATATGTATACTTACTCTTCGGTTCTGAGGGCGTGCAATGATCTCCGGCTTCTGTGGGAGATTCATTCTGGCATCTTGAAGGTCGGGCTAGAATCCGACATTTATGTAAGAAGTGCTCTGATTGATGTTTATTCGAAGTTGGGCAATGTGGAGAGTGCTATGGCTGTGTTTGATGAGATGCCCACTAATGATCTGGTTGTTTGGAATTCCATTATCGGAGGGTTTGCCCAGAATAGCCATGGTGATGTTGCACTGGATCTTTACAAAGCAATGAAAAGGGCTGGGTTCCAGGCTGAGGAGTCAACTCTGACAAGCGCTCTGAGGGGTTGTACTGCCTTGGCACTATTGGAAATTGGGAGACAGCTTCACGTCCATGTCCTCAAGTATGATCTCGACGTGATCCTCAACAATGCACTTCTTGACATGTACTGCAAATGTGGTAGCTTGGATGACGCCAAGCTAGTCTTTGGTCGTATGAGGGAAAAGGATGTCGTGTCTTGGAGCACGATGATCATGGGCTTGGCACAGAACGGTTTTAGCAGGCGAGCATTGGAATTGTTTGAGGAAATGAAGGCCTCCCACAAGATTGAACCAAACTACATCACCTTGTTAGGGGTTCTTTTTGCTTGTAGCCATGCTGGATTAGTAGATGTTGGGCAGCATTACTTCCATTCGATGAAACGGCTTTTTGGTATTGATCCGGGAAAAGAGCACTATGGTTGTATGGTTGATCTTCTAGGAAGAGCTGGGAAGCTTGACGAAGCTGTGCAGCTGATTCATTCCATGCCCTGTGAGCCAGATGCCGTGACATGGAGAGCATTACTCGGGGCTTGCAGGGTTCACCGCAATATGGATCTTGCAGCCTATGCAGCAAAACAAGTAATAAAACATGATCCTAACGAACCGGGAACTTACATTTTGTTATCTAATATCTATGCAAACTCTCAGAAATGGGATGAGATAACTGAAGTGCGAAAAGCGATGAGGCATAAAGGAATTAAGAAGGAACCTGGATGTAGTTGGATTGAAGTGGATAAACGCATCCATGCTTTCATAATGGGAGATGATTCCCACCCACAAATATTTAAAATTCGATGGGAGCTGAAACAGATAATTGGGAGGTTAAAAGAAGTGGGATATGTACCAGACACCAATTTTGTGTTGCAAGATCTTGAAGGGGAACAGATGGAAGACTCACTGCTCTACCATAGCGAAAAGATAGCAGTTGTATTTGGGTTAATGAGTTTGTCGAGCGGGAAGACAATCAGGATCAGGAAAAACCTGAGGATCTGTGGAGACTGCCATATCTTTGCCAAACTCTTAGCGAAAGTGGAGAACCGATGCATCGTTATTAGGGATCCAATTCGCTACCATCATTTTCAGGATGGACATTGCTCTTGTGGTGATTATTGGTAGCGTGTAAAGATCAAATGAGAACCTGCAGAAAAAGGCAAACCCTGTTGAAGGCAAGAGTTTTCTGTATATTGACATACATTGAATGTGAAAATTTCGGGGAAAAAAGAAAGATGTGTCTTTTCCTTTGTAGTTTAGAGGAAGAAGATTTTGCAATTGCAGGAGAAGGATGGATGAAGAAGAAACGAAGGAGGCAGTAATAGCATATGTGAAGAAGGGTTTCAAGCAAGCCGAGTCATCTTTCCCTGAAGAGGAACAACACAATCTTTAAAGCAGCTACAACTCCGGTAACTATCTCCTCCTGGAACTCCAATTCCTGGAATCGCTAGATAAATCGAAAGAAGATGATGGAGACACCATCAGGGCTGAGATCCATGGATGTCCGATGGGCATTCGATTTTACAACGAAGAACATGATGAGAAAAATACTAATATAGTGGGAAGGTTGAGAAGTTTGCTTTTACCCCTTCGGCTGTTTACTCTCAGTATTTTTTAAATTCACTGCTTCTCAAGTTGATGATCCCAGCAACCCGAAAATTTTTCTTGGTAAGTATGTTATTTATGATTTTCCTGGTCAGAAGGGAAAATCTTTCTTAGTATTCCCTCTGTCCTAAAATTATTGTTCAGTTTAAAATTATTGTTCAGTTTGAGATTGCACTTCTAGTACAATTTGAATTAAAAATAAAAACTCAAACTGGACAATAATTATGGAACGGAGCGAGTATGTTATTTATGATTTTCCTGGTCAGAAGGGAAAGGCGATCGAGACCACTGGCGGTGTTTTACTGAGGAAAGATGTTACGGGATCAAATTAGAAGCCGGATAGCCCCTGCTTAACTAGTAACACATTTTGAACTCCTCCTTAAGCCCTTTGGTATGAGGAGCAAGAATTAGGATTGGTGGCAAGAAGAGGACCACTTCAAAATTTTTTAGATGCCTTGAAGGTGTTGTAATACAAACTCATTTACAAGCTTACAAAATGATCAGAATCTCTGGATGAATTGCTATCAAAAATCTGCTAGCATCTGGTAAGATCTTTTACCAGCATGATTAGATTACTAGCGCATGTAGGTCTACGTATGCATTTCAGCTCTGATGCATCCACAAAAATATCTCTAACATGTCAAGCTTTTACCATGGAGCTTTTGCTTCTTCCAGGAACATTATCTCATCCCTGTTGAGATACTTTTTCAAAAGCTTTATATCAGAAGTACATCTCATCTTTACCTGCTGTGCTTCCTGAAGTCTAGCTTCAAGAGTTTTGACCTCTTCCTCGGCAAGATTAATCTGAAGTTTGGCCTGTTGGTATCTTTTAACACGCGGAGTATCACCTAATTGCTCTGCTAGTCCGGCAAGTTTGGTTATGCGAGCACGCAGGAATCCAAGTTCAATTCCCAAGAACTCGAACCCTGATAATGTTTTGTCACATATTGTAAAATCACTCTGGGGGGTGTAAATATTGCTAGATTTGATTGCATCGGCAACCTTGACTGTATCACATATAATATCAGCAGCTGATGCAGAGCTAAGGGTTTCAAGGAGACCACCATGCAGATATGATTTCTGGGCACGACAGAGCTCGTAGTACTTCAGCCGTACACTTTCAGGGATGTGGTAGTCCAAATTGATCCCGCTAACGATTATGCTGAAGTCCGCAAAATCTACAAAAGATGTCGATCTTTCACATTCCTCTTCTTCTTCCAAGTAGACTTTTCTCTTTCTTGTTTTCTCACGTCTCTTACCCTTCTCTTTTGTTACTTCTCCTTTTTGCCAATATAGTCAAATTTGAGAGTAACAATATTTTAGAAATGTAAGCATTAACATCAACAGGCCAAAATGAAGAGAAATGCCTTAAAATAAAAGGAAAGTCCCATTTATTTTACCAGATTTCGTATCACGCAAATTTCTATCCAACTCCAAAAGGCCAATGGCTCCATCCACTTCGCTTTGGTTAGTTCCTCTAACTATGAGAACCTGCACATATACAAATGGTTTTCTACAACTGCGAGAACATTTACAAAAATGCTCCTAGTCAAAGTTAAATCTGTTTAAAAGCATTAACCTTGAACTTGTAAGTTTCAACCAAATGGTAAACAACAGCATCGCCTTCAAGCAAGTTGTGTTCAACAGCAAAACGTCTCCAGCCCCCACTAAGCCCCGTTCGACTCGCAATGTACTTTGCTTCGTATTCTTTCCCCTCTTCATCTTCCAAAATGAATAATGCATCACGATCTGGCAGGTACATTCTGCAAAAAGCTGTAGGAATCCCCTGGAGGAGTCCAACCAAATGTTAAGGATAAACGGAATAAATTGAATATGGGGAGACCTCAATTAGGCTGTACTTACCAACCAAAATACCTTTGTAACGTGGGAATGTAGCATAATTTTTACAAAGCTAGGGTACTGAACATCAAGATTCGCTCGAATTTCTTGTGCTCTTTCCACTGCAGAGGATGGAACCTCAAAATTATCACGGACCATTGCGAGCTCCAGTGTTTTTCTGTTTTATGTAATAATCCAAACAGAGGAGTGTCGGAGACAAATTTCTGAGGTTTACAACAAAAATAATGTAACTTCAACCAAAATTTAGAGTACCTCCTAGTTGCCCGCGGGCTTCTTCTGATTGCCTGCTCCAATTAGCTCAATCATAATCCATCAACAAAAATATAGCTCATGAATATTACATATGAACATTCAAGTTGGAAAACAAGTGAATAAACAACAAAGTGGACTACGATTTTTTCTGGGATGGAGGGAGTATAAATTTGGGATTTTGAGAAGAATGAAGTGAATCACATCTCTATCTCTCCCCAAAATCAGTTCCATGGACGTTTTTTTTTTTTTAATATTAATCTAGTCCAGCAGCCCTGCATGCAATATATACATTATGGTGAAAGCACATCTTCAGTTTATATGATCCAAAGGCGGAAAATTTGATGATCCTTAGCATATTAACAAACCATAGACAGTTAAAAAACAGAGTACTTTGTCTTTGTCCAAGGTGAATCATGAGAATTTCAAACGACCACTGACTGTGCTTTTGTGGAATTATCTTCGAAGCCAAATGCATGCAGAAACAGTAGAAATCAAAACATGGTACTACAAGACATCGTAAAACCTGAGTACAAACAGAGGAATGAGTGACTGGTGTTCCTTTTGAGGCCAGATACTGAGTGAGAGTCATTTGATCTTCTTCATCAATATCTAAAGAGGGTTCAACTCTATCTTCTTGTTGACCATCTTCTTCTTCTTCCTCAACTGCTTCCTCTTTCATTTCTCTCCCCATCTGAATCAAGATTTTGAGAAACTCAAAAGAGCAGAAAAGAGAGAGAACTGAAGTGGTTATGAACTAGGCTAAAAAGTAAGGCTCAAAATGTTGCATTAATACGTGTTAAAAATTTATATAAAAACTCATAAGCATATAATAATACTCCCTCCATTTTTTTATATGTCTTTTTAGAGAAATTATCAAAACCAAGAAAACATTAATTAATGTAATTAAAATACAAAAATATTCTTATTTATTATCTATACAAGTCATTATAAACTAATAAATATTCATTATAAATACTGTTTCATTTCCAATGCAAGAATAATATTGATAAAAGTGATGAAATTGATATGTAAAAACGATATATATTTAAAAAAATTTATTAAATCTTAAATCGACATATATTTCAAAATGATGGAGTATAAAATATGGTGCTAGGCACCTCTTGAGGCAGGAAACTTCAGGTGTGTTTTTCATAATCATTAAATGAACCATGTTTTTTAGTGTGCTTCAAATTTTAATGCGTCTGATCATGTCACTGGGAACTCATAACTCTTTTTGTGTATAATAATTATTATCGACGGATAAGTGGCAACACCGTATCAATTTGCTGAAATAACCCTTGTCAAATCACACCATTAAAACCCTCCTCTGTCATCACAAACACAATGATTTCAATGTTCGGATTCATTCCATTTGACTAGCATGCCGCTTAAGTTTTCATTTTCGCTGTTGGATATAAAATGTTATTCAAATACACCACCATCCTATAAAAATAATCTGTATACATGTAAATATAAATGTAACGTTGATTATGTTTTTTTTTTCTTTTGAGACATAAGAAATTAGTAGTATTTAATTTTTTATTTTTATTTTTACAATCACTATTGGATCACCATCGGTTGGCTTAGATTTCTGACTTAGATAGAATTTGGCCGAAATTAGTCGATTGCAAGGGGGGTCGACAATGATCATTAAGTTAAATAGTTGTATGAATTTGTTGAAAGTACTGCTTGTAAAGGTAACCGATCCCAAGAATTTTCCTCCATAATAAACCATTACCATTTACTCTCTCCATTTCAATTTGTAGACCGTTTTAGGTTTGGAGAGATTTTTCAAAATGTAAACGTTTTACAAATTCTAGATAAATTAATGACTATTTTTTCCAATTTCACCCTCAATAAAGATTCAAATCTATTTTCATATAATCTTGTTTATAGTTCCAAGGCAATAAATGAGGAGTAAAACTGATATTTAACACATAAATTAATTATTATATCATTGTCTTCTTAGTTTAAAGTGATTTACATTTTGAAATGGAGGGAGTACTACTTAATCTACTTATAATTATTCTCATGCATGTTTCTAAACTCAAGACATGCATGATCATTGAAGTCAATCCGCTAAAAAGTTAAAAAAGCGCCTTGAATTTGCAAGTCCAACACAAAATGAGTCGAAGTTCCAACATTATGCAATTATTCTCATGAAGATCCGAGTATTTTGTTACATAAATCTTTTCAAAAATCCATGGTAGGTAAAATAAAACCCACCCTAACAACAAATTTAATTGAAAAATCAAACTTTACAATATTTAACAATAGTGATTTATTTATATTTCATTGTTACGTTTGCATTTTTTAATATTTAATTTTTAACTTTTTTATTTACTTCTTTGAGATTCTTTTAAAATCCGCGAACAGCCGCCACGTCATTGTTTCAGTCCTAAACCAAGTACACAGGACGAAGACACACGTTGGGAAACATCTTTGAGAAAGTCGAAACCGGGTCGGTTCCGGTTCTACGACGCATAATCACCACCGTCACCATCACCGCCACCAGATCGAATCCAACCAACAAAATTTCCAAAAATGGCGTTGGAGAGCGTAGGAGATTTGGCGATTCACGTAATAATCTCCAAATTGGGAGCTACCGGAGCAGCTTCGGTGGCCTGCGTGAGCCGGCGGTTTCGCTCGTGGGCTTCCGAGGACGATTCTCTCTGGGAAAAGTTCTGTTCCGACGAGCTTGCCCTCAAGTCTCCCGTGGATCCGCTCGGTAGACCCACCGCCTCCTTTAAGGTCAGTTTAGTCACAATCATGCTTTTTTCTAAGTGTGACTGTCAACCTGCTTCATTGGTATTTATTTTTAGTGACTAATGTGCTAGAAACGAGTGTGAATTGGATTGCCCAACTAATAAAGCCATTACATAATTGTACCCCTTACCAGGAATGGAGTTCCTTGGTGAGTTATAACTTAGAGAATGCGTCTAAAGTAGCTCTCCCAGCTTGTTCTGGCTCTCAGTTTCAACTGCTGTGATGGTTTTTTTTTTCCCCTTTTTTTTGTTGTTTTGTTTTTCCTCAAACCGAAGCCGAAATTGAAAATACGGGGCAGTGAAGAATGGAGATGGAGAGAGTTTGTTTCTGGGATTGTGGAATATGAAAGCTGAGAATTGGTTGTTTTTTATCTTTGACGTTTGAGTAAGTTTAGTTTTTGTTTCTTAAGGGCAGGGCAGTTGCAATGATAAGTGTTGCTGCCAAGTGACTTGAGAGGGTATATGTTGATGTTGCAGCAATAGCTTCTATGAATGTTTTTTTGTTTTGTTTTTTTTGTTTTTTTTGTAAGACTATTTGGATTGGTCTTTTGGGTTTCATTTAATAGCCCTGTCACCAGACAACACACACAACGGATTCGGTTAATTGAAATCTCAAGTTTGAGATTTTATGGTTTGTTGTGGATCACGTACAAGATATGATGCTGCTGATACTTGTTTATATATATGCCCTCTAGATTGTTTATGCCATCGTAACTCGTTACGCTTGCTTAAGGGAAGTGTAACTTAATCAGGCCATGGAAACATGGTGGTATGCATGTCTTTCCGTGGGTAGATTAGTTCTGCTTCAGCAGTAAAGTATTGGGAATTGTCTTGTAATTGATGTAAAAAGACATGTATTTAACACGACAAGAGGATATATTTTAACTAGATGCTAAAGCTAATGGCCACTATTTTCTTTCGCACTATTATTGCTGCTAGGTGTTCAGTTGACTGTGACTGAATAATTGTACACAAGAATGGTTTAAGGATGATCGATTAAGAAGAGGCACAGAGGAAGAAGAGGAGAGGTACTGCTTAAGCTTCACATCAAGAAGGGAGACTTAGAAATTATTCTTTCAGTAGCCCTCTCTAAAAGACCGTATTTTTTACATGACTCTAAATTTGCAAAATGAAATAAAATGCTAAGGGGAATTGGTGCCTGGTCCTTAAGTTTAGACGTGATGATATTGCATCAGCTTGAGCTAAAAGATTTTTTTGACATATTATTCGGGTAGGTACTAAAGCCTAGCCTGAATGGTGAAATTGTCACTTTTTTTTTTTTGGGTTTTTATTTGTTTTGTTTTGTTTTGTTTTTTTTTTTTTTGTTTTCTTAAGAACTCAAATTAAGAGGGGTAGGGGTAGACCTAAGAAAAACATGGAAAGAAACTATAAAAAATGATTTGAAATATTTAAATTTGACCGATGATTTATGTATCGAATATGATCCATATAGCTGAAACCACCTGGTGGGAAAAAAGCTTGTTGTTGTTGTTGTTGTTGTTGTAAACTCCAATGTAGAATGTTCATCAAGTTAAATGGTAGCTGATTTGATGTGTATGTTCTTATTTCTTAATTTTGTTTTAATGAATATCAATATTCCTGTACATTACAGATTGTGCAGTGTATTAATTATGTTTCCCCTATTCCTTACCTTATATCTATTTTCCTATCTCATGCTCGACAGGAAGCTTATAGTTCCTGGCGCAATGCTTTTCATATGTATCCTTGGTCTCTGGTGATACGAGTTAAAAGATGTTGGGACAGACTTAAGAATTGGTTGGCTGCCAATTTTCCTGAAGTATTGGGTACCTTGCGTAATGGTGCAACTGAGGAAGAAATTAAGAATTTAGAGGTGACATTGCAAGTAAAACTGCCTCTTCCGACAAGGGTTCTTTACCGATTTTGTGATGGCCAAGAACTTGATGTTGATGAGTCTAGTGGCAGTGCCGACAAATCTTTGTTGGGTTTGATTGGAGGCTACTCATTCTATAGCCACCTTGTAAATGTGTTTTTATTACCATCGCATCGAGTTATTGAGATAACAAAGATTATTCAGCGACAATCTGGATTTAACAACAGATCTAAATATATTGCCGTTGCAGTTTCTTCCATCTACAGTGGAAAGTTCTTTTTCCTTGACTGTACAAGAGGCCAACTTTTTGTTGGTACAAGAAATCTTACAAGTGATGGTGAAATGATTACTTGTGTGCCAGAATCATTGCTGAGTTCAGTGCATGATAGTGACGGTTCTCTTATACAAGATGCCATGCTACTGTGGCTAGAAGAACATGCTCGACGATTAGAAAGTGGTATTGTGAAAGTCCGCAAAGAAGGTGACATGAAATGGATCAACTTATTTCCAGAACAACCTCCTCTGTGTTCAACCGCTGTCACAAATGGTGTAAAGGTGTTTTATCTCATTAATTTTGCCAATTCATCATATTTTCTCACATATAATAACATAGCTCTTTATCCTCTGTATAAGTATTTATTACGATCTTGTCTATCCGTTTGGTTTGTTTTTTTCAGTTTCCTATTTAATTCCGATGCTTGCTTCTAATTTTGCTCCATATACTTGTAATTTGCAATGTTATGCATCAGGTTCGAGCTTCCTCTGTTTTTGTTCCTGAGCAAAGTAACTGTCAAGATGAAGACGATAGGTTTTGCTTCGGCTATTCAATCCGCATGTCTCTCTTGTCTGAGGGTTGCATTATCAATGGGATGAAGTTTGGCTCATGCCAACTATATTGGAGAAATTGGGTCATCCGTGCCAATGATACTGTTGTGGACAACTTTAACGGTGAAGGTGTTATTGGAAAGGTAACTGTTTAATTTGTGGCTGTTCTTACTTTTTTCACGAGTTATTATCTACTTACAATGCAACACTCTTTTTTTTTTTTTAAAAAAAATAAAATTATTTTTATAGGTTACTGAGTTTTGACACTCATTTATAAAGAATTATCTGTTTTTCACCAAAACTCCTGATGATAACTTTGTTCTCATGATGGGTCTTGTTTGGCTGGCTGGTTTGCTGTTTGATGAGTTAATTGTATCTAGAAGATTCATTTGAGCTTCATGTTCACCTTCATTTTTTTTTTCATATATATATATATATTTTTTTTTTCTCTTTTTCTTCGACAGTTTCCACTCCTACGTCCTGGAGAGGAAGAATTTGTTTATGAGAGTTGCACATACATGACATCTTCTCCCGGCTCCATCGAAGGCTTTTTCACCTTTATCCCTGGAAGGTAAATTATTTTGATGAATGCTTTAGTACTTACTATTTATGTGAATTAGTGATCGGACAAATCTCAACCTTCGATGAGGATCTATTTCCCCCTGCTATCGGTTTAGTAAAATCGGAGATTTGTATTTGGTTGTTTGGAGTTTTCTCACTTTGTAAAGCATTAGTTTGATAATTTGCCTCATGTTGATTTGGGGGGAACAAAAGAAAGAAACTAGTAAATGGAAGGATTGATGACCTTTTTCTGCTGCCTATTTGGATTATGGAAACAAAAGAAACTAGTTAACTGGAAGGAAGATTAAATTGTATCTCTGAAAGCTTGATGCTGAAAGTTCAGCGAGTAAAGATTTTGAGGCACAAAATTTTGAAAGTCTCTGTTCCAAGTTCCTTTCAAATAATTGAAGAAATTTGCCTGTCTGTAAACTCTAGAGAAGGTTTGAATGACATCACCTTCGTCTTCCTTTTTTTCTTTTCCTCCTTTTTTCTGTTCTCTTATCATCAAAGGCTTTTCCAATTCACAAGTAGGAAACAAGTGGGGCAGCACCAATCAATAGATAATAGTCCTGTGCTGGACATGTGAATAGTAGACCTTTGATGTTGCAATACAGTATAAGAAAGCTGTGAATTACTATATCAAATAAATAGGGGACAGAGGAGTCATGAAAAGAATGTGAAGGACGTAATATATTTAAAATTGAATGACAAACGTATTTTCACCAAGAAAGATGGCAAAACATGATCCGGGTTAGCAGTTGTTGTAGAAATGCTCTTTTGTTGTTGTAGCTTTTTCTAACTATTATGGCAGCGCTTAATGTTGGTCCGTTGTACATTAATCTGCTGAAAGCTCCTGAGTTCCGGAGCTTCATGTTTATCATAAGAGAATGTATGATAAAATATGATTCCCTGAGGATTGCATCCCAATGACTAGAAGTGGATCATATATATTCTGATATTTTTTGGTAGCTTGTAGTACAAATATGGGTACAACTAATACTTTTGATTGGCTCGTAGACTCTGATTTCGTGGATTTGATTAAAAAAGATCTTCTGAGTTTCAAGTGATTTGAAAGAGTGGGTCTCTCTTCGAGACTAAGTTTTAGCCTGTAGACCTCCAGTTGGTTTGCTGGACTAATGGGATATTAGCGATTAAGTTATACTGACTAAAGCTTTCTTATGTGAGTTTCCAGTAAAGACTGGCCAAATAACTCTGAAGTTTCGTCTTGATCTTCACTATCTTGAAATGATTAAGCTTAAATTTTAAAAGGCATCACATTTTTTGTAATCGACATGGCAGTATTAGATTTCCACCTATACTACCATTCATGGGCTTAACATTTGACACTCAAACAGAGACCCCTCTGACCAAGTTTACTTTAATACCTGTTGTAATGCCTGTGGCTAGTGGTTTGGTGTAATAGCTTTCGGGTTTTCGTTTTGGCTAGTTTGGATAGACGGCACCAGGTCTTGTATCAGGCTTCTTCTTTTGCGTTCTCTGATGTGGGTATATCTTACTTGAAGCTGCGATGACTGAAGCTGAATTTTAAAGGGGAGTGATGCCCAGTCTCAGCCCTTTCTTCTGATCCGATCCCATGCCTCAGCATAGCTTCTTGACTAATTTTCTAATCAAGACTCCTCTTTCATCCATTAGCATAGCTTCTTGACTAATTTTCTAATCAAGACTCCTCTTTCATCCATTACTTGAATGAAGGACTTGCTTCCATTTTCACTGTCTATGTTTATTAAATACTTTATCTAAATGATTTATGAGTCAATCTTGATAGACGAATATGTGTGGTAGACAAAAATGCAAAAGTGGAAAAAATGGGAAGAGATGGGAAATAGATTTGTATATTTTGCAGTAGATGTTCATAAGACATGCAGGTTTTAATTTTAAATGGTGTGGGAAGTCTGATTTACATTGGCCAACTGATATCATCAGTTCATGACTTTTGAAAGAGATAATTAAAACTTGAAAATGTTTGGACTAGATAACTATTTCATTATTTTTGTAAACTGGAAGCTAACTTCTTGGCGAAGTTCATGCAAGATACACAAGCTTGCTGACTCTGTTTGAATGGATACTTACCATTTACATGGTCACACCTTTCAGTTTCTAAAGGGTATAGCTTATAAAGTCAGCAGTTTTTCTTATTTTCTTAAAGTAACAAGTAGCTAGTTTTCTCTGGAACTTCGAAATTTACTTTTATTTCCTTTGAATCTTTATAAAGCAAGTTGGAAGCCATCAACAAACCCATCCAGTGACACTGCAGTTGCTTGCTTTGTTACTGGTGTGCATTTGTGTATTTAGTTGCCATGTTTCATCATACATTTGGACTGAACGGATAAAGGGAAATATTGCTCCTGTCAAGCGGAGCTCTATGATGATTAATAAATGCATTGATGTCGTTTTGCTTCTCAAATATGGCCTGCAGATTGGCAGATCCTGTAGGTGCCCCGTTTCAAGTTGAAGTTGCGAGCTTTCCGCTACAGGTGCCGGACTATATATTCTGATTGTTCTTATCAAGTTATCATGTACATTTGTGTACTTGTTTTGAGTTGCTGCGTTGTTCTTTTTGGTGTTCCCTGTTGCGAAGCTCCGCACCTGCAGTATACGCGATTATTTTCAATCGAAAAGTTACAGTTTGTATCTACTGAAATGTAACAGTTGTGTGCAGAAGTGCAGTACCTTTCTCTGTATAAAGTTTGCGGAACCTCGTATCCAACAGTTGTATATATGGAAGTGTTTTAGAGAGAATAAGTTGGAGAAAACTGTTAGGTATGTTTGCTCGTCACATTGGATTTGGTTTTTAAGAACTTAAATATCGACACCTCTTCCATAGAAATCAACTGTCTGCATGCCTATTAAAAACAGGTTTGGCTGTGAAAGAATTTCCATTCATAATCATCAGCTGGATGCAAATCTGCCTTTGACAAAATCAATCATACACCAGAAACAACTACACTGTAAATTCCCCCGTACAATTAATAAATCGCCTTCCCCTCCACAAGAAACACAGTCTTTGTTTACCAATTGATTTGATTGGTTTTTTGGGGGTTACAAAATGAAGGTTGATTGAAATCTCAACCCTCAAAATCCCTACTGCGCTGGAAACATGATTAGAACAAACACGCAAAAGATAATTCATCCCTACATTCGAACGCAAACACAATGCACAACTGGATCTTCTTGATTTTGAGATATCTAGTTTCATACTGGTAACTTATTAAGTGATATATGTGTTTGTCACTACTAATAAGAATATATACAGATGGATAATACAAATACACATTATGTTGTGATAGGAAAAAAAATATTATTTAAAACATACTCGTATTACATTTTTTTTTTTGGTTTGTTTTTTCCTCTTTGGGTAAGAACCTATAAACATATATTTGTCTTAAAAATCAGACCGAACTGCACAAGTCCCAGTATGACCCTGCTTATCTAATGCTTTAAGAAAATAGAGATATAGTCTAAACAGAGAAATAACAGAAGTTGAACAAGATAATTTAGTGGACAAACCACATTATTAACAGAAGAAGAGGATGAATATAAAATCAGCGACAAATAGAGTACATTTAACCTTAAATTAAGAGTGTCCAATCTACCTACAAACTGAATTTAAAGCATACTCTCAGTATCATAAAAAAAAAAAAAAGTTTGTTTCAAATGACTATTTTTTTTTTTTGTTTTTTTCTTTTAGACGAAAGATATATATTCCAATCATCTTCGAACATCTTCACATCTTGATCATTCCAATCATTGCAATCATTTGGGAAACTAAAGAGTCAGATTTCAGAAACAATCAAATCATTTTTGTTATGGAGACAGTCACATTAACAAACAAAGTCTTCTCCTCTCTTGATATTGGATCATTTATGATTTGCTTGTACCTCAAGAAAACCTCCTCAACTATTTCTTCACCAAAGTGATGAACAAGCAAAGGTTCAACCACAGCTCTCATGCATTTCACTATGTAGTATCCAAAGACACCTTGGGATTTTTCGTGTTCCGAAATCTCACCTTCATCATATCCATTCCAATGGATCTCGTAAACCTCGAGACGGTCGATTTTAAACGATCCTTCCATTTCAACTAAGTGTTTCAGTTTTCTTACCGATGGTCTGTAATCACGAAGGTTGAATGAGTCAAGTTTTTCTTCTTCTAAGTCCCTGCCATTTTGATCAAATACTGCAGGTTACATTTAGCCAATGAAATTTCTTTTATATATATGGCACCAAAAATTAATGATTTGTAGAACATTTCATACAACAAATATTTGCATTTTTCGAAATCAAGAGGGGTTGTTTCTTCCATTTTATGTAACTTATAGGAGCAATTTCAAACAGGAGAATTGTTTATAAGCTAGGCTAGTTTATATATAATAATGAAAAAGGTGAATGTACCCACTACTTCTTATGAGGCCTGTCTTTTATGGGAAATGACGACGTCGGTAACATTTTTTTTGTTACACTCATGTGACATTAGTTTAATATCTCACATATCTCTAATCATTTAACTTTTGTGTTGGATTAATTATTATGATACGTATAAATTATTTATATGATCTCACTCAACGTAATACAAAATTGTCAAAAGTGTAACCACTAAAATTTTATGGATAATGTTTTTTACTAAGGACAAATATGTAACTTGATCCATAAAAAGTCAAATTGGACAATAATTTTGGGACAAAATTTTTTGGGCAAAGTGGACAATAATTATCGGACGGAGGGAGTAGTAATTAAACTCTAGATTCTGATGAGTTATTATATTATAGCGTGATTTCATGTGTGAACATAGGGATGGATGAACTGCTGCTACATTTTTATTTATTCCACAAAAGCTGTCATTTTGTTTGATAGATGCAAGATTAAAATTATTTATTTGCTTTTCAATTTCAATTTCACATATATTGGGCTGTTTCTAGAATGCTAACAGATGTCTCGGTACCAGAATATTAGCCATAGTTATTGTATTAACAGTTGAACAAATACAACTATATACAATTAAGGAGGCAAAATTAAACTTAAAAAAAATTCAAATCAATATTTCCCAACGACTTTTGCGGGTTACAGATACTAATTGTATAAATATATCGTATTTCAGTCATAAGGTTAAGGGTCCCCATGGAGTAGTCATTACCCATATGTGATAAACAAACTACGTAGTAGTTTCTCTGAATTTCGTACATAAGACTTCAACCATTAATTACCACCCGAGCAATATATACTATACAAGAAAATATACTCCAAACTGTTCAAGAAAATATAATCCAGCATGGGGTAACATGACGACGAGTTTTCTGCTTCTTCAGAATTATTCTGCATGGCCTGGAATCGTGATCTGTAGATTTCAGGCGTAATGTTTATTGGTTATATTCAATGAATTACTAATTGATTTTTACTCGTAATGAATGTCGATTACCTATAAGCCCTCCACAGTAGCTATGCATGTTGCAAATCGTAGATAATCAATTCATTTTGATCAATGAGACAGTGAGATTAACGAACTGGGTGTTCTTCTCTCTACACATGTAAATGTAATCACTTATTATTATTAGTATTATTAGTATTTGTATTTGTATCTGGAGGAGAAAACCTCTTCAATAAATTCTTTACCAAAGTGTCAGACAAATAACGTCTCAGCGTTGTATATATGCATTTGGCGACATCGTTCATCTTTGATTTTTTGTTTTTTTTTTTTTTGTAGTAAAAATCAAAATTTCAAACTTCATATGCATTCCAATGGATCTTGAAGTCTGAAGGTGATCAATATTGAAAGATCCTTTGGATTCGATTAGAGATTGGAATCCGCCGGGGATGATTTGTTATTGGGAATGCCAAATGAAGCTAAATTCCTGTGGAGGGTCATGTGGCAAGGATTATGAATCCCACATGGGAGGCATGATGACATGGGAATCAGTTAATAAGTAAAGTAGACTCAGAACTCATTAGCTTGAGCTTTTGAGTTCAGATTGATCTTATCTTACTTATTGGGCTCCATGTCGAGTTTTCTCCTCCAGATAAATCCCCAACAGTGGTATCAGAGCCCAAGTTGGGCCAGTTGGGTGGGTGGTTTAGCCCAAATTATCTCAGTTGATCTGACTGAACCCAGACAGTCAAAGGCCCACTACGAGCGGAAGCATAGGGATGGGCGGCCCAGTTACTCAGGTGGAGTACAGATTTGGGCTTGTCAAGATAATTTGGAAGCCCGATGTGGAGATTGCCCATGACGGGGGAGAATGTTGAGGGTCATGTGGCAAGGATTATGAATCCCACATCGGAGGCATGAGAGTTGGGCCAGTTGGGTGGGTGGTTTAGCCCAAATTATCTCAGTTGATTTGACTGAACCCAGGCAGTCAAAGGCCCACTACGAGCGAAAGCGTAGGGATGGGCGGCCCAGTTACTCAGGTGGAATACAGATTTGGGCTTGTCAAGATAATTTGGAAGCCCGATGTGGAGATTGCCCATGACGGGAGAGAATGTTGAGGGTCATGTGACAAGGATTATGAATCTCACATCGGAGGCATGAGGACATGTGAATCAGTTAATAAGTAAAGTGGACTCAGAACCCATTAGCTTGAGGTTTTGAGTTCAAATGGGTCTTATCTTACTTATTGGGCTCCATGTCGAGTTTTCTCCTCCAGATAAATCCCCAACAATTCCTTTAGTTAAGAAATGATTGTGAAGTTTAAATTAAGAATGAATTTTTTTTTCTTATTAAACAATCATTTTGAGAACAAGTAAAATATCCACCATCTTTAAATATTTTTTGGTGGTCTAGAACTTCATCTTCCCTTCACATGCATTCTAGTCAAAATTATAATTGAAATCTATAATACTTCCGAAACCATATCAATTATAATTGAATTTCAAATGCTTTTTAAGAGCTCCCAACTTAGCAGCATTCTTTGCTAGAAAGTTTTTCAATTTTTCTTTCAAACAATTAATGTCAAAACCATCTGGCTACAAGCCACCAATTTCTTCAGTCCGGCAACTAAGAGTTAGAGAAGTATAGAAAAACCATTCTCAAATGGCTTCATGCCTTTATCACACTTGGGATGGTTTAATCTTCTCATAAATGTTTCCCTCATTAGCTTCCTTCCAGTTCAGAAACGAATGAGCAAATTAGCTACTCCCTCCGTCCCATAATTATTGTCCATTTTGCCCAAAAACTTTTGTTCCAAAATTATTATTCAATTTGACTTTTTATGGATCAAGTACACATTTATCCTTAGTAAAAAACATTATCCACAAAATCTTAGTGATTAAACAATTACTTATGTAGGGGTATATCCGGTTGTTTAAGGTAAAATATAGTTAAGTTTGACCAAAAATAAAATCTTTCATTTTAGTAAAACTGGACAATAATTATGGGACAGAAGGAGTACTTTAATGTAGATGTTCTATATTTGTCATACGGTATTCTTAGATGGCCAGCGATAACTGTTGAGGTTAAATTCATATTTGAATTTTTAGTTTTAGTATAATCGAAAATTATACCATGCACATTAAGTGCATGTAGCTAGGGCATAGATCCTTATTTGGTAATTAGTATAGGAAATGAGGGCTAAATATGCAAGTGTTTATGAGTTAGATGAAACCCACTCACCACTCTTCCTTATTTTTAGGAAATGGGTTTCAAAAATTTTTTAATCTTCAAATGATTTTTTTTCTCAGTCCGTAAAGAATTACATCAAATGCCTTATATTATTTTGATAATATTCAATGAGATCTATCCAATAATATCCATCATGAATATGTTTTTCAAAACGTAAAAACATTTATGCAATAACCTTGGTCTTACTAAAAGACAATCAGGTCATACTTGTATCTTTTATGACCACGACCTACAGGAAAGACCAAAAGCCAAAGACTTAAAATTGAATACCAAAGAGCAAATAGCAAAGACCAGAGTAAAGAGCGAGTGTGTGTGAGGAATAAAAACGAAGGACCAAAGACCAGTCTGATCCAAAACCTCAGAATTAACTCTCTATGAATGATTTCCCCCCAGCTGAGTTTGTATAATCAGCTGTGTATTTGAGTTGTTTAGTTGGGAGAAGAAAGAGATTGAAGCAAGTTAATGTGGGTCTTTCTTTGCTTGATTAAATTAGCTTATCAGATGTATATATGGAGGCTAAATCTCAAACATGGAGGGAAATTTTTCATACTGAAACAGTTATCCAAAGGTTTCTCTGTTGACAAGTTTCTTTTGCAACGAAAGAAAATTTTTATTTTAATAAACAACATCTTATTAATTTACGAAAGGGAAAGTACAGTACAGTAGAAGTAACATAAATCCAGAATCATCTTCAAAAAAAAAAAAAAACATAAATCCAGAATGAACACACACATAAATAACATCTCCGGAACATCTGATGAACTGAGAAGGAAGGAATGTAGTATTAAACTTTCCAATTGTTGTTGCAATTGTGGCAATGCACTAATATTGCTTGTTTGAACGTCAACTTACATTTCATTTTGCCCTTTAAAAGTGGAAAGTGTTTCAAATTGAAAACTAAATGGGAAATAAAAATGTTGTTTGGATGTTGATTTTTTTGAAAAAAAATATTTTGAACTACATTTTGAAAATATCAAGTACGAGTCATCACTAAACAATTAAATACTGTCAATTATAATCAATGCAAACAAGAACTTTTCCAAAAATAATCACTCAACAACGGAATCCTGCCAAATTTGTCACTGAACTATTTGTAGTTCTAAAATGGTCATGACACTAACAAAAAGTGTTTCAAGTTGGAATTTAAAATATAAATCAGAAAGTTGTTTGGATAATGTTTTTTTTTACATTGGGTTTTGTGTTTAAGAGTTAAAATGAGTTAAAATGTAAAATGAGTGAACAAACAAACAAAGACTAGTCATTGGCTCGTCGGCGCTTCGGGTCTACATCGGACTATAAGTTGTTGCAGAAAACTCGCATCTACAGCACTGCAGCTCCTGATTCCCTTCTCCCTTTTGCTCCGGTGCCGGAAGTATTTCGCGATTGAACTTCGGCAATCCCCTGATTTGCTCGTTCTCCAACTTTCTCGTCTGGCTTGCCATGTCTTTTGTTGTCAACTGACTGATTGATTCAGAGCTAAACTCCCCAAGAAGAACTTTCTTCCGGAAATTAGGGTTCTTATCATCTTTCAAATTGAACATCACCGACCAATATTTGGCTTTGTTGGTTCTGCTACAAGATCCCCAGGCTCTGAACAGTTCAGTTTCCACCATCGCAGCAACATTCAATGGATCGCAAGATGAGACCTTCACTGCTTCCTCTCCTTTTTCATCAATCTCAGTTGCCACTTTAGTCAATGATTTTGCTAGGTCTTCCTGGATCTCGTCCCTAATTTTGTCATTGGTTTCCCGAAATGAAGCTATGTGGTTTCCAATCACATTACTTTGTTTCCCGAAACTGGAAACTATGGTTTGGCTTTTTCTAGAGAGCTTCCAGATAGTACTTCTATCACTATCCTTAACCGCACCCAAAGACGGCGGCACTTCCTGCATAATCTTGGTTTTCTTTTCAGGAAGAAGTTCGTCGACGTTCAGCAGTTGTGTTTGTCGGAGGCGCTTTCCGCCCATCTGAAACTCCTTGAGTCGCTTCAGACGAAGCTACTCATCCGTGGCCCTATGCCAACCGCCGACCACACTCGCCGGTTTCCTTGCGGTCACAAACATCGCCATCCTTACTTTATACTTTTACGTATCCTTCTTGCAAATAATTAGAACTTTTCTCACTAGATCATAATATTTCGCGGAGTAGACGACTCTTTTCCCTCTAGATCTTAATATTTTCCGGGGCAGATGACTCAATTATATATATAAACAAATGTTGAGTTCGTTTAAAACCATTTCCTATCCACAGATGGAATCGGAAACCTGGAGATTTTCCTAACATCACAAGGAAACGGGGAGCGGCAGGGTTGAATCCGATCCCTATTTGCAAAGGTAATTGGCAAGTTTCCTAATTCCAACCAATACAGATCTTTACTGTTTCCTAATTCAAAAGCAAATATAATTAAACTTGAAAGTATTTGGACTAGACAACTAATTATTACTTTTGTAAACTGGAAACTAACTTCTTGGCAAAATTTATGCAAGATACACAATCTTGCTGACTCTGTTTGAACGTATACTTATCATTTACATGTTCCCACCTTTTAGTTTCTAAAAGGTACAGCTTATGAAGTCAGCAGTTTGTTATTTTCTGAAAGTAACGACTAGCTGTTTTCTCTGGAGCTTTGAATTTTCTTGTATTTCCTGTTTAATCTTTATCAAGAAAGTTAGAAGCCATTGACAAACCCATCCAGTAGATAAAATTAGGGTTTCTGTATAAAAAACATAAAAAGAACCAAGAAAGGATGGAATTGGACTTTTATGTATTAAGCTTCTGTTGATCTTTCTTGATTACAGATAGTACGATGAAGTCTATTATTTATAGACTTAAGTTTTACAGATTGATAACTACAAAGTAAAGTAGTAACTAATGTAATCGACAGAAGTTATCATCAGTACACAATTGTGTTGACCTAAACCTCCTTGTAACCAATACATCCTCAACTGTAAACATGATCAGCCTTATCTCTCCACTGGACGTTATCAGCCTTATTACTCCTCATGTTTAGAAACAGATGAGCCTTCCTTAGGGTTATCTTGAATATCCCCCATCAAACTGAGTCGGGGTTGGAGACTCAGTTTGTGCTGGAAAAAGGGCACCATTGCTTTGGAGACAGGTTTTGTGAAGATGTCTGCAACCTGTTGTGTCGAGGAAATATGCTTGGTAACAAGAAGACCTAGGGCAGCCCGTTCACGTACAAAATGATGATCCAATTCAATGTGTTTGGTACAGCATGAAAGACTGGATTAACAGTCAAATACAGGGCACTGGGATTATCACAATAGATGGCTGGAGGACATCGAGTACGAATACGCTGGTCATGAAGAATATAGGTAAGCCATGTGAGTTCAGCAGCCGTATTTTCCATGGTACGATATTCTACTTCAGTGCTAGATCTGGAAACCGTGTGTTGGTTCTTAGCACACCAAGAAATTGGATTGGAGCCAAGGTAAGTGCAGTAACCAGTGGTGGAGCGTCTGGTTAGTGAACCCGCCCAATCGGCATGGGCTTACAATCGACCATGTTGCGTCGTTCCAAAAATATTAAGAGCATAGTGTGTTTGAGAGAGTAGCAACCCGTCAGCTGTAGGCGAGACTTCAATGCCAAGAAAGTGGTGAATCGGACCTAAGTCTTTCATAGAAAATTCAGAACTCAACTTGTTAATAATTGTGGTAATAAGGATAGAGGAAGAGCCAGTTAGGAGCATATCATCAACATAAAGAAGAACTAGATTTCCTTGAGATGAATGACAAACAGACAGAGATGGATCTGCTAGACTACACACAAAAGCATAATTAAGAAGAAACGTACTAAGACGATTGAACCAAGCTTGCGTAGCCTGTTTCAAGCCATAAAGAGCTCTCTGAAGCTTGCAAACATGATTAGGAAAATGTTGATCAATATGTCTAGGCGGTTGTTCCATGTACAAATGTTCAATAATGTAACCATGTAAAAAGGCATTTTTGACATCAAGTTATCTAATAGACCAATGATTTATAAGAGCAATGGACAAAATAAGCCGAATTGTGCTAGATTTAATCACAAGAGAAAACATTTCAATGTAATCAAGACCATCACCTTGATGATACCCTTTAGCAACTAAGCGAGCTTTAAGCCGATCTAGGGTACCATTAGGTTTGAGTTTAGACTTAAATACCCGTTTTGATGCATGTTAGAAGTTCGCGGGACCAATTACCAGGTCTGATTTTGTCGAAGTGCCGCAAGTTCATCAAACATGGCTTGGGTCCAATTGGGATGCGCCAATGCTGACTTAACAATCCGAGGTTCCCTGGGAATGGTATGAGAAACGGTGACCACCAGTGCATATTTCGGATTTGGTTTAATCACTCCGAGCTGCGAACGAGTAACCATGGAGTGACCCTGCAAGGAGGAGATGGAATGGTTAGTGTTGGAAGGCTGTGAAGAGTCAAGAGAGGGAGATAATTCAGAAGAGGCAGAGTCCGTAGCGGGCGACGCGGAGGAGGAAGTTATTTCAGGAACAATACTGTCAGTGGACGAGGAAGGAGAAGAAGGAGACTGGTTGGCGGATTCATGGAAGTCACAAGGTGGATCTGATAAACAGTGGATCGCTAAATGGGGCAAAGATGACAGGAACTTTTGGAGAAGCATCAACAGCGGCGAGAGTATCCGTAATTGGCGGCAACCAGGAGTTAAAAATCTGATTAACATGAGATGTGGAAGAAGACTTAGATTCTGATTTAAACGGAAAACTACATTCATCAAATATAACATGGCGAGAAATAAACTTCCTGGCTTTAGGATCAAAGCATTTATATCCTTTGCACTTCTCGCTATAGCCTACAAAGATACACAACACTGATTTAGGATCAAATTTATTATGCTTGGTATCCCACGTATAAGGAAAACACTTGGAACCGAAGACACAAAGAGACGAATAATCCGGATCCTTCGGATGGAACATAAAGTAGGGAGTGGAAAATTGAAGCGCAGATGACGGAAGATGATTAATTAAGTGAACCGCAGTTGCAAAGGCCTCAACCTACAAGTATAGAGGACAATGACTATGAAATAGCATCGTCATACCAAGCTCACGGATAATGCGGCGCTCAACCGCACCGGATTGTTCGGGAGTATAAGGACACGAGACTTGATGTATGGTACATGTGGCAAGAAAATGTGACGAAAGTTTAGCATTGACGAATTCTCCGCCACCATCAGAGTGAAACACTTTAATATTTTTATTAAATTGCTGAAAAACGAACTGCTCAAAAGCTAAATAGGAAGAAAAGAAATCTAATTTTTTTTTTTTTTTTTGTAAGGGAATAAACCAAGCAAGCATAATAACGAAACTTTACAATGGATAAAACCGGGGCTGCATCCCATAAATCACAATGCACTTTATCAAAAATAGCAATAGACAGATTCAAAGAAGGTTCAAACAGAAGTTTACTTAATTTGCCTAATTGGCAACTATCACCAAAAGAACTAGAATGCGATGGACTAGTAACACTAATAAGTAAGTCCTTTATTTTGTAAACGGTGGACCGCGGAAGCTTGAGGATGGCCTAGGCGTTAATGCCAAGTATTAGCATTTGCGGACCTAAACCGATAATAAAAATGTGCTTACGGAGAGTTAGAGATGGTGTAAAGATCACCCCTCCTGTGCCCCGTCGTGAGGATATTGCCTGTGTTCCGCTCCTTTATCCAAAAAACACGATAAAAAAATTCACAATTCACAGGAGATTCCGATGTTAACTTGCTAACGGAAAGTATATTTTTCTTTAAATGAGGAACAAAAAGCACATTTGATAAAGGCAAAGCATTACAATTTTGGCGGAGCACAGAAGCACCAATGCCGGTGATTGGAATGGATGAACCATCACCAATGACTACTGAATCCGACGCATTATAAGGTTGAAGAGTAGTTAACATACCTGTATTTCCAGTCATATGACTTGAAGCGGCGGAATCGGACGACCACTCATGATCCGCGACCGAATTGTCTAGGGTAAGATCTGCCAAAGCTTGCGGAAGGTGATTTGGTTGAGTGACCTGATTTGAGGGTTTGGGGAGCCACCAACATATTTTAGCAATGTGGCCGGGCCTGCCACAGTACTGACAAACAGCTGAACGATAGAGCTCCCGCTCTGATGAAGTCATGCGTCGCTTACCAGGAGGTGGAGGTCGACGCGGCTGAGAATTGGTGGCCTGAGTAGGCAGCTGCAAGTGAGGATTGGAAGAAACACAGGAAGGTTTTTGCAGAACCTTGTATCTAACAGTTGTATATATGAAAGTGTTTTAGAGAGAATAAGTTGGAGAAAACTGGTAGGTATGTTTGCTCATCACATTGAATTTGGTTTTTAAGAACTTAAATATCGACACCTCTTCGATAGAAATCAACTATCTGCCTGCCTATTCGAAACAGCTTTTGGCTGTGAAAGAATTTCCATTAATAATCATCAGATGGATTACTTTCACAAAATCAATCATACACTAGAAACAACAATTACATGTAAATTTTCCCGTACAACCAATAAATCGCCTTCTCGTCGACAAGAAACACAATCTTTGTTTATTAGTAATTGATTTGGTTTTGGGTTTATTGATTGATTGGTTTTTGGGGGTACAAAAAGAAGGTCGGTTTAAATGTCAACCCTCAAAATCCCTAATGCACTGGAAACACGATTAGAACAAACAAACGAAAGAAAATTCGTCCTTACATTCAACCGCAAACACATTGCTTAACCAGTTTTTCATGGTTTTGGGACGGCAAATAGCTTAGTCTCATACTGTTAACTTATTAAGTGGTACAATATAAAAAAAAATTATCGAAAATACAAACATACATTATGTTGTGATAGAAAAAATATTAATTGAAATAACGAAAAAAAAAACATACTAACCACCCAAAAAAAAAGAAACCGTTGACTTATATTTTAGTGAATATTTTTGGTTATTTTGTTTTTTTTTTTGTAATTTAAAT